GAATAGGTTGTAAATTCTAACAAAACTTTTGCCTGCATTACTGGTTATATTGATTCAAACTCGAACCTTTTTCTGGATGATCTTTTTCTTCGCTTCCGAACAGCTGTACAGTGATAAATTGGCAAGCGCAAGTGCTGCATGCCGTAAAGTTATCGGTGTATCGGTAGCTCGTTTACACGTTAGCAGAATATGATCCAAAACACCATATTCGATCAGCCTGAACAGCACTCAGCTGTAGTTTCATAAGGTCTCATTTGTGCAGATTTGCGGACACACGTGAACAACGCGAGTGGATGTTTATGCAAGCAGATGTATACGAGAGGGTGAGGGGTGTCTATGCGTAATGTTGACGTATAAGAATGCGTGAGTCTAGCACCTGCACACGCATTGCGTAAGTGAATTCGGATACATTAACACGAGCTATCTTTTCTTCGTGTATATAGCTTGGCGATAAAAGATGGGCAGACTATCAGGCCATTAAGTATGAAAAGTCCGATTTCGAACTGAAAGTTTGGTATGTTAAAAAAGAAGCAGTGTCGCCTAAACTATCGACACAGTTCTGCCATCTTAAGGTAACACCTTCACGCCGCTAACGAAAAAGCCTGAGTGACACGAGGCAATGAAATCGCGAAAGGCCCTTTTAACGGCTTATTCAGAATTGAATGTTTTTTTCTTGGAAGAAATGGTCCATAAAGCCAGTAAAAGAGAATTTTCAAGTCATTAATATTTTGCCACACTAACGTCTTCTAGGCCTACACCGTTTTTTTCTAATTGTTTTTCCCTTCTCAGATCCAATTTAGAGCAAGTTTTTCGCACACTCAGATGTATATGCTTATTAGTATATAGTATGTCTCATATGCATCATTGCACCTAGCCCTGAAGTACCCCTGTAACATCGCTGGCATAGGTTAAGCACACTAATTGTTCGGGCAGTCTTGATATGCACATAAGTAGTCTGGACGAAGGAGTAGTTCCACACCTTTCCTTTCCGCGTAAAGAAGTTTCCAACTTATAAAAATTGATATTTTAGTATTTCTGCTTATTACTGCGCCATTAACTGCACTAAT